AATATTTTAGCTAGTTCAAAAATGTGTAAACTTGATCTAGTTTAAGTTTACTGCATTTAAACGTGCTTAAAATACCAAAAATTTTAAAAATTACATTGATCTTATAAAACATTTTAAACTGATTACTTTCGTTTTAAAGAAGTTTCAAAAAAAAAAAACATATATGTAACAACCCTGCTGCATGGACCTTTTAAATTTATTATTTTCGTAATACGACGTTAACTATTGATCTAGAATTTGAACAAAATTACAATAATATAGAAATCAGACCACTGGAATGCTTCCAAAGAAGTAGAATCACATCCAAAAATCAGTTTTATTACTTAATCAATACTATCTTTACTTTATCTTTAACTATCTTTACATTACATTGAAACTTAAATTAACCTTGTTAAACTCAATAGTTGAAATAATAATATAATCTAACAGAAAACAGACATTAATGTAATTATTTGTCCTTAAATTAATTCAATACAAGTTCTTTGAACACAAATGTTGAAAAATGTTTTGATTCAATGGGTCAAAGTTGGAATATACATAAAAATTATGTTAAATAATTAAATTTTATGTACAAAATTGATAGTGTGTCTCGAAGACCTTGATTTTTAATGGTACGTTTTTCTTCCTGTATTTGTTTTGTGGACCAGGTGTAAATAATTTCCCATGTGTCCTCGAGCCTATGTATCTCCACTATAAGGCGATGCCTCAGAAACGTAGGGTCTACAATGTCATCTGATTAGTATGTAATACTGTTTATTTTACATTGTCCAATACGCCCCACAAGATACGGTAGCTGCGTTTGTACTTCTATACGGTGCAAAATAAAGTACTCATTACGCTTCATGGACCACTTGTTCTGATGAACAATCTATGGTTGAGTGGTAAATTTTACATAGATATTTTTTACGAATAATGACAAAAAGACTATTTATTAAAACTAAAAATCGGTATTTACATATCATTAAGTAATGACAGCTCATCTTTTGTTTGAAATGACATAACTTTCTAAATGTTTTTAATCAAATGTTCATTAGCGGTTAAAGGTACTTTTTTATTATAATTTCTTAAAGAATGAATAGTATTATTTTGACATAAAAAGAAAATGGAAAACCCAGAATTAAAAAAACACAGAACTTTAAGTAATTACATATTATTACACTTCGTGTGTTTATTTTACAGCGATGTAATTAGGCCACATATTTCTTTGATATTAATTAACACGAAGTTACTTTTAAAAAAGAAAAAAATGAGCTATGAACTTCAGTGTTTGAAACAAAATGCAAATTTTAAAAATCAATACAATATTTGTGAATAGAATACTTAAAAAACAGTATTCGTGACCAAAAAAAAAATATTATTGTATATGAATCGTATTATGGCGCATAGCCAGTTGGATGAAAATTATGTGTCAAACTCGTGGTAATCCTAATAGTTAACAAAAAAAAAAAATGATCTCGTGCAAAACTTTGTCAGCTATTTTCTTAATGTTCTGATAAAAGATGATATCAATGATACGTATTAGGACGTTCATTACTACGGCGATGACAACTCATTAATGTTGGAATACATTTCTATCACAAGTGTACAAGTTAAACACTCCGTAACCTTTGTTTATCTGAATAATGAGTTTCCTTATATTAATTAATCAGCATTATATATTATCGATAACCAGAGTAATTATTAAAATTAAACTATTAATCGATTTAAATTTAAATGTGTTTTCAATAGAATTTAAAATACTCAAAGTAATATATTAATGTTATGTATTAATATATTACGTTGAGTGTAAATATATACAGTGTATATATAACGATTAATTATATTTATTTATTACCAATTGTTTGGATCAATAACTTTGTAGCTTTATTTTGCAGACAATATAAAACTATACACTTAATTTTCGTGGCGTATTCAGTTCTTTGGTGTTCTTCCATCTTTTTTCTGTTAAATGATTTTATAGATATTCTTTTCTATTTATTTAGCTCAATCTAATACTAGGCTGGTATTCATTAAAACAATTATAGCAATATAATTCTATAACATTTATTGTCGAGATAAAATAATTGAAACTAAAAATAAGATTAAACAAGTTCACGTAAAATGTGTTTTAAGTTCGTTGAGAATTTTGAGAAAATAATTGTGCAATAAAAGTTGTCTTTTTATTTTTTTATGAGTTAATTAAAATTTATTATTATAAGTGGAATTATTCAAAGGATATCTTTCATTTTTACTAGGAGTTAATTTAATAAAAAATTTAATCATCAGTTAAAGTACAAGTATTTGATGACATATATGTCCATTAAATTGGTACCAACTATTTCAAAAAGCTCACTGTTTGTGAAATAAATATTAAATTATTTACAAATTGTTTAATTTTAAAAACAATTTTTATTTTCTTTTGCGAAAAACTAAATGCATTGTTATTTAACTAAATTACTTAAAACATTAAAAAATAAGAGATTTATTGTAATAAATAAATATATAAAATTATATTGGAAAATATGATTGACAGTTTGATGGAAATATATTGTTGAATTGGAGGTTGTAAAAGTTATCAAGGCATAAAATTTATTTTAGTAATCTAAATGACATGTTTTATATTCTATTTCAAATGTTATAAAATTAATTTTATTAAAATTTTATAACGTAAACTGATTAGATTTTTCAATCAATAATTTAAAATAGTATGCTCGAAAATTTGTTGATTAATTAAACAATTTATTTAAAAATACTCTTATTTTAATGCATTAAAATATGGTAATTTTTAATTTGTGGTGTCTTTTTATAATTTTTTTTTTATCATTTATATTCATTCATTACGATTCTAATATAATTTTAGTTTCCTGAATTTAATATTTCATGATATGCAAATGTAGTATTCATTTCAACAGATTAAAATAAAATATTCTGGTAATACAACAATTTCAAAATATCCGTTTATGTCTCATTTTATGCCAAGCCGTTACCTCAGCACACGAGCAATATTATAACAGTTATGACTATGTGTTTGCATTACGTTGTGTTTTAAGGCTAAACATAATGGAATGTGTTCATATATTTATTTTTAGCTTGGATGCGTTTTTAAGTTTATTATTATGGTAATAATATGTTGTCAATTATCAATAATGTACTTCTTTAATAATTCGCTATATATTAATGCTATTTAATTTAAATAATAATTAAATTAGATTTTAATAAAATAATCAAATTTTTATGGAAAAATACTATGTAATTTTGATAATGTTCATAAACACTTTTAAAATCGTTAAAAAAAAAAAGGAACTTCATTAATAAATCAGATGGTGATTTTTCCATAATTATGTAAATAATTTATATCATTGTAAATAAACTCAGTATTTTTGGTATTCAGTATATAAATACTAATTCTCAAGGTAGTAATTAAATTTGTACAGATATTGAACAACATTAGGATTTTTTTTGCACGTTTGCATATATTAAGATCTTTGTGGCGAACTTACGTTGCACTTAATATACAAAATTTAACAAATTTTTCTTCGTTTAAATTACATTTTTTTATTCAAATTTTGAATTGTAAACAGTGTTTTGATCAGTGGTGGAACCAGAGCGGCATACAACCCCTTTCTTGAACTATTGTCACACCTGACTTTGAAAAATTTAATCGTTTTATTCAGTAATTTTTTAATATAAGAAGAGGCAACCAAAAAATAATAATTGAAAAAAATCGTACATTTAAAAAAAAAATTATTCAATCGAAAAAGAATTAATTTTTAAGTAGGCGTTAGGGCTACGTAGACTTTATCATCTACTTAAAAAAGGTAATTTCAATGATAAAATTACCAAGAAAATGATATTGTCATTGAAGATATTTTTGCATCTCCTTGAAAAAATGTTAGTTCCCCACTGATTTTGATCATGACAGATTTCTTAAGAGTATATTTATATTATACGGTTTATTATTTAGCAGTGGCGTACACAGATATTAAATTTGGGGGGGGGGGGGTTTGAAATTTAAAGAAAATTAGATGTGACACTGCCCATAATATTCGCTCACAAAAATTCCTGTTTTCCATTACTTTATTGTGGAAATATTTATGTACGATATGATCTTTTTTATTGTTATTATTATTGTTTATCGTCCAAAATTATCGCTTAGCTTATAAATTTTGGGGGGGTTTCAACCCCCAAAACTCCCCCCTTGCGTACGCCAGTGAGATTTAGTATATAATTGTTATTTTTACTAGTACAGCATTTGACAGTAAATAGTTTAATTAATTATTCGAATTTTTGCAATGTGCGATTATTTTATTTTACATAGGATGCTTTGTTTTTCGAAAATAATTAAACAAAAATTCGGTTAAGTTTACGATATACTTATGTTTTAAAATTTATTTAATACTTAGCAATTATTTGGTATATGTGTCGAATATCGAAAAGTTTTTAATAATTAGATTCTGCCTAAATTGTGTAAACAAAATTGTTAACTTTTGTTTTTGAACTTACACCATTAAGCTTCAAATTTTGTAGTTACTCAACAACAGTCATGAATGATAAAATTGAAAATCATACCAAATTTGATTTTAGTAATTTTGCGTATATCGATAATAGTAATATATTATTTAAAAACTTTATTTGTTTTAGCAAAACAAGTGTGAGTATTAATCACATTTTTTTTAACCGTATTCAAATTGATTTTTTATATTGATATTTTTATTGACGATATTGTCGACCCGCCCGAGCGGACCGTTGAAATCTTCGATGCCGTAAAGTCGCACCCTTCGCACTTGCACATATTTTGTACGTCACACGTTCAAACGGTCAAAAATCCGTTGGATTTCTGTGCATAGTCGTCATGTGAGGGAATCTTACCGGTGGTGGGGGTAGAGGGATTTCTGCGTGTGTGTGTGTGAACGTCGCTCGATCGGTTCCCACCGCGCGCGCGGAAACCGGTTACTGCTTAGGGTAGAGGTGAATCGGAGTGGGGTCCACCGAGAATGTACGTTACGAAATGTTATACAGAACGACGACGCCAGCAGTCGCACGGACCCGTTTCCAACTGTCGTTCGTCCGTCACTGTTGTCGCACCGCTGTCGCGCTTATCACCACCGTAGTACCACTCGGCATCTGGTTTCCCTTGTGTGTTATTCTCAAGTGTTCGTAATTGAATGTGCATTAGTGTTATCAATTTTTTCGTGCGATTAATTACTGAAAAATGATCGCTACCGTCATTTCGTCACCGGGGTCGTTTGAATCGTTGCCGCGGTCGTTTTGAAAGAGTGCCCGTCCTAATATTGTGTAGAACCGATGCGATAATTGTTATTATGCCGCTATCGTTCAAGAAGATCTTCTCGCGAAAATTGCTGTTTAGCCCCACTAAAATAGTAATGGGAAACGCAGCGTCGCATCACGAACCTCTGGACCGTTTGGGTAATCCAACCGGGTCGTCGTTCCGACGGGCAGCCAGCTGTAGACACAGCAAAGCCAAGGTAGATGATCATATTATTATGACAGTCATCTAAGTTAATTGCGATTAAAGTTTATTACTATGTCTATTTGGAAATCGTTTGTCGCGCACTCGTCAAAGACACTGACCTGGAGGCATCTCCATTGTCTTGCGAGGAAAACATGTGCGATTCAAATCACGACTTTGTCCTCCGATCAAACACACAATGTGAATATTATGTAATGTTCGCGTGGGTGCAGTTTATTTAAATTTTACTATGTTTGTGTGATTGTCATCGAACGGTGCGCAACAACAGTGTCGTAATTAATGTGCGCCAAGACGCTCGGGGTCGTGCGAAACTGGTCTGTTGCAAAATACACGGGACGGGTAGGCAGACAGGTATGCGTTCGGAATGACGATGGAAATTGACCGAGAGACCTTGCGATTTTTCGCGCGTCACACGCTTACGCTGTTTTTGTATTACATGCGCGCACGCAAATGACTGTTTTATTATCGTTGTTCAAATGTATTGCCGTGTTTACCCGTCCGTCTGATCGGTGGGACCGAAAAGCGTGAGAAAAGATAACGAATTTCTGTATGGAAACGATAGCTGCGCTATCTGCCGGTGACTTTAGGTTTGTTGATCTAATTACCTTTTGCTCCTTCAAAGGCGATAGACGTTCTCAGGGTCTATCGCTTACTAATCAACGGCGTTCAATCGCATTTACTTATTTTACTTGGTAGTCGTTAAATCGTAATGGAATTATCCGTTATTACTGGTTGTTATGATACATTAGCGTGTTTGTTATGCGTACGCATTAGTAATACTTATGGACTGTGACGTGTATAAATTTGTTTTTTTCTTAAACGGTTTGTCGTGTTCAACAGAGTTGCGGTTCCGGCGATTGGAGTGGATCTTGTAGTTATATTCACAGCGCATTCCGCGTTTCTTCTGTCCACTAAAAAACTATTCATCCGTTATGATTTATGGTCGTAAGACATACATTACTGTTTAGCGGTTCTCCGATAGAATTATTTTTCTTAAATGTAAATTTTTTGGATTATCGTTTTGAACGCATCTAATTCCTATGCGGTTCAACGTTTTCCTTCGTGATATATTTTGCCAGTGCTGTAAATATTTTGTGCATGATATTAAATAATATTAAATGCATAATATTTTGTTATAATTCCATTTAAAGGGTTGGGTCACTTTAAACAATTTCGAAATTACAACTACGACTAGTTAGGTAACTGACAAATCGACTGTGTTCTATATTGCTATAAGTATAATTTATTAATTATAGGTTTTCCCTTGAAAAACGAACCGTCACATAGATTGGTTCGTTTGTTTAACGTAAGGATTAGTAAAAAAACACATTCAATCGACTTGTTTGTCACGTGGTAAACTCGTTACTTTTCTCTGATCAAATATTTAGCCGATATGACTTTTAACATGTTGTCACAGTTAAGAACATAAAAGTGTAATACAGATTAGACCTCATCTCGTTAGTCGTGACGTAAAACGTTTCGCTATTGCAATTACATCTACTTATTATAAAAGTTAAGTGCACCACAATGTTATAACATTGAAGTAATTTTTTTTTACTGATTGTTTATTATAATCAACTCTGGTTGTATTTAAATTAGCCATGAGTAACAATTCAATGGTGAATTATAGACTAATTAAATATTTGATTGGTAAAATGTTGACAGCTTGAATCTCAGTTAAACCAGATTAGAAAAAAATCACATACACTTGTAATCATCAGTTTATGACAATTGTCACATGATTTTTTATAGCCAATCAAATTGAATTCGAAATGAAGACAGAATAACGCGTTTTGTTTATTCAATGCCATTTAGTTGAAAACTTTACCCTAAACGTGTCGACATAAAGACTGTTCATTTTGCCTCCTGGGTAGTTTCAGAGAGTTCTAAATATAAAACAAGCACTGGGTATGTGTGCAGAAACGTTTTATTAATAGCTCATGATTGCCTTTGTGTGGTAACATGTCTTGTACGTGCATAACGATTGACTAATATCTACTCGCGGCAGCCAATCAGCTAATTTAAATGAAAAGTACGATGACGATGGTGAAAAAATACTTCGCATCTAGAAATCATCAAGACCAATGTTGCAACATCATTAGGGTGGTAGTTAGTGTGAGGACCCGCAGGATTTCCGTTTTTTTGTCCGTTACCCACCTATTCGTATTTATGTTGTGCATGTCGCTGAAGGTTTAAAAACAGCTTGAGTTCAACGGTATGGTGTGTGGCACAAGACGCGCGTCTTGATGGGTTTCGTTCTCCCCATCAACACAACAATGGCGACGTGAACCTCGTGGTGAGCGAATACTATTTCGGAACGTGCGAATAACCCCTTTGTAATTATTCGTTGGCTATTTTCGGGAAGTGGGATGCTGAGCCCATTAATGTACTTTTGTGACTCTTGCAGAGAACTTTAAATAGAACTCAAAGTCAATATTTTTCTTGCAGTAAATACAATTTAAAGTATTAATTTATGTTTGAAAACAGATTAAAAAAAAATCGTTATTTGTCATAAATTATTTATGGTAATAATTTGCTTAGTATATTCTGAGCCGGAAAAACAAGTTTATATCTGGTTTGACGTATTTTCTTCAAGTCCTAGGCTTGTATAAGTAATGTTTTAAACATTGAAATTTAATTATAATATTTATTCGTTTTAATACACGGTATTAATTGTCTCAGTTTATCTATACGCTAGAAGTTAATAAACGAGATGAAAGGTTAGCTTATAATTATGGTAATATAATTAGGGCTGGGAATTATATGCATTTATAAATTTTATTAAGTTATTTTTAACGTACCAGCGGGCAGTGTAAAGTTTTATTGATTTACATGAAAACATAGTACCGAAAACATATCGTTACCGAGGTTATATTTTTAAAGGATGTTTCGGGGGTTATTCCCCTTAAAACGAAAAATAGTTCTACGCTGCTATATAATCATATGACAAAGTTGCACGTTTTCAAAATGGCTTAAATTAAATTTACAAATGTATTCAATTCCTAGTCCTGGTAATAATATATACATTATATATTATTATTATTATAATATATGACACCATGTAATTATAAATATTATAGTAATTATCTATTTTTCTTTAGTTAAACAACAAACGTACTTTATTTATTAATTAAACGTGGTAAATCAGGAAACCGGTAGATACCATGCCCAACATTAATGAAATAGTCTCTTTCAGAGATGTAACCGAGGAACACTTTTGTGTTATTTATTCGCCCCGAGTTGGTGCGGAAATAATTGTGCACGTGGACTCCGTTGCATATTTCACGTCGTACACATCCTGTCTACGCCCCCGCCCTTCCGTGGAACATCCGCACGATATTTTCTATCCTCGGGGTCGTTAAGACAACTTCTCTAGACGATCCAAGAGACCTCCATAGGTTTTCGCTTAACCACGTGCTGTTCCCCGGCACTCGCGACCTCGTCTTGATATATGTTCTTTGTCGTTGATTGTGAACATTATAATTGATTTATGATAATTTCTGTTCAAACCTCATATAAATCCATTGTCGGGGGGACTACGGCACGAGTTTTCTGCCACTCGAGAACCAAATAAATTGTTTTATTATTGTTATTTTTTGTATTCTACGTCGCCATAGAATGTGATGATCCTAACAGCCGCCGGTTGACCTTGCACGGGGGCTTTCATGAGGTCGTTCACACCGATACAGGCAGCAACGACCACGTCGGTCAAGTAGATGAAATACTCTTGCGTTATCATTGTACTGTAACGTTGTAGGATGCGCCCGTCGGTTTTCGGTATCATCGAACCGGTACCGGTGGTGGCTTATGAAAAATATGCTGTAGAATTCGAGGGATATTAAACAAAATAAAAAAAACAACATCCCGTGCCTCGCAGATTGTATCGGTGCAGCTGTACAAAAACCGAAGAAGCAGCAGGCAGCAGCCATCGAGCATCTGGCGATCATACATAGTGTGTGTGTGTACGCGTAGGCGTCTGTACACACTTTTAGTAAGAGTATTAATACCGTCAGAATAACTTGATCTTCGTACACGAGTACACGTTTATATGGCACACTAGTATTTAACCGGTAGTAGTCGTTTGCCATCGGGGTAATGTGCGAGTGCCCATCACGGTACTCGCCGACTACCATAACTATATAATACATGTGATGTACATAGAAATGCATTATACTGTATACTATGGTGTGGGCAGAAGAGGCGGCTGGCTACACCTCTTCCCGGCGGTTACCTGATCGTCACCACCGGCCCGGAGTTGTGTTTCGTAAGGGGTCGTTCACACACGCTTCGGTCGCGATACCTCAGCATTGTCCCGTAACAAAGTAGAACCGATTCTCCGAGCCAATGATAACCCGTTGAAAGTATGATTCCGTCAGAAACGTGATGTCATTTAAGAAAAAATAATTCGGTAAACAATGAACGTAATAATCTCGTAAGAGGATTGTACAATTATCTCTGTTCGTCGAGGAACCGACGAAGGCGCCATGTTTTGTGCCGAAGAAACTGGGTCCTTATGACGACGACTAGTTGTGCAATTGTGTATCCGACTCTTTGTTTTTGACAGCTCGAAAAGTCTAAAGTCAAGACGACAACGACACAGTATCTCAAGTATCGGATACTGTCTGGATGACTTTTATTACAAGATGTATGAAATTCTGTAAAACTCAAAGAAATGTATTCTTTGTTCAATCGCCGGTATGTTTGATACCGACATAATCAATACACGTTTGTAGACCTACGCTGGGCCCCTTTACCCGGTACACATCTGTATTCTGCGTTACCCTAGTCCTATTACTGACGCGTTGTGTAATAACACACTATCCCGTTTTGCATAAATACCGTAGTCTAGGGAGGGGCGTTTTCTTGTAGTTCGAAATAACATGTTGTATGTACACGCAGTGAATACATTTTTCCGCTTGCACTTATTGTTAAAAAATAAAAATATCGGTGACATCGACAACACTTTCGATTGTATAGGCCATACTCCAGAGACAA